GACCTAGATTCGAACCTTATCGGTGTTTGCGTACTGCCTATGATTCGCAAACTAGGCTGATGAAACAGCTGTCCAGTACTCCAGTAGGATGATTTTCCATTACTTCTCTAACTGATACCATTCTGTGGTCAAATTCGTAAATACAGGTCACAGGCTGACTTCTAGCCAATGCATTCTGAAGTCACACATATAGTTCACTAACTGAGATTAAGGACGGAAAACAGCGAAGATTGGACTCGTTTGAGGTAGAAAGATAACCCCATCACTAATGAAAAAACTCCAGAGTTTGTAGCCTTATGTGAAACTCAGAACTCTAAAGAATAGGACAAAATAGTTTTCTAAAACATTCCACTGAGATGATTTTTAAAAAAATACATATCTCTCCCTTGCTCCCTCTTGCTTATACTTAGGATCATTAAAGGGTTTCAAAGCGTACATACAGGGTAGCATACAAACATGGTAGAAGTACCTTGGATGCTGCGGTTGTCTTATATCACAATGTTGTCTCTTGTTTAGACAAAGGTGCTAAATATGTTCGTAGTGCTTTCTTAGACTACACATCTGCTTTTGACTCTGTACCTAGGGGCCTTTTATTAAATAAGCTATCGTTGACACAAACAGGATCTGGGCTAAGAGTTGGTTGCATTCCTATTTTTCTGATAGAATGCAGTATACTGTATATAACGGCAAATCTTCTTCTACCTCGCTTACAAAATCCGGTGTTCCACAAGGTGCTGTCCTCTCTCCTTTTCTTTTTTCTTTCTTCCTACATGACCTGCTTCATTCAAACGAAACTAACTTTGTCAAATATGCAGATGATCTGACTGTATCACTGCCTATCACTTCCGAGTCTGACAGCTCCAAACTTAATAGTTTTCTGTTGGACATCAACAACTGGTCCAAGTCAAATGGTCTTATATTAAATCCTTCCAAATGTCAGGCACTTGACTTTACTTTCAAGCATCGACGTGACTTACTTGAACTAGTTAGCTCGCATGATCCCTGTAGCATAGATGGCACGGAAATTGAAACCAAATCAAGCATTAAATACCTCGGATTAGTTCTTTCCTCTGACCTTTCATGGTCATCCCATATCTTATCTATCTCTAAGATAATGTTTCATCTTACCTTCTACATTAAAAAGTTAAGGCAATCAGGTATCAACCAACCTTTACTTCTACAGTTTGTAAACTCCTGTATTTTACCTATTGTACTCTATTGCTCTCCATTAATCTTTCCTGAGCTTCTCAAAAAAGACTACATCACATTACGAAGGGTATTAAATGCTGTGAGTAGAGCTTGTGGTCTGCCACTGCATGAGCTCGCTAATACTATAGTCGAGAGGCATATAAATTCCTGTACGAAATGGGCAAAGGATATACTGTCAGACCCTCTGCACCCCCTTTATTCACACCTGTCCCCTTGTATCTCATCAGGTAGGACGAGAAGTCAATATAAAAAGTTTTATGCTCGTACCACTAAGTATAGAAATTCTACAATACCCTATTTAGCCTGTACTTTATGTGACGAAGACTCTGTTAGACGTGAAACTTGCAAGTTACTATGTAATTAGCACAATGAATCGACCATTTCATCGTTCACCTTTCTGTATTTTATGGTGTCACACTTTCTATCGTTTAATTGTTACTCTGCTATTTTATTTCAGTTGGCATTACTATTATTACCACAATTTTGTACTTTATGCATATTTTCTCCGTATGGCATACAGTATTTTGCTATGTAGCTGCTATAACAATCGTTTTATTACTATTATGTAATGTTTATTTTTATAATTTTTTTGCCGTTTTTGAGTAAATTAGATGCAATATTGTACTAAATGCTGAAAATTCCTTGCTGTATCATTAGCACTGTTTTTGGAATAAAGCAAAAATTATTATTATTACTTATCACGCAACACTTAGTTTGTATTGTAAAGGGGTTAAGGCTTATCTAATCATTTTTTTAACATTTTCCGGTGTAGAATTTAATTTTTCTCAACATCCCTGTAAAACTGATTTTTGTGAGGGGGATTTATGTGTTAGATATCGTAAGGAGTGATTTCAATCGTATCGGCAATTTCTACATCCGACATGTGAATTGCCAAATAACATAAAAATAACATTGCGCTGTAACATTCCGCATTTCCGGTTGATTATTTAACAATAAAGATACTTATTAAGAACCAAGCATATGCAGTAACAATGGTACTAATGTCTCCAGGAAGAAAATGATATCCATGGATGCGTTATACCCCTTTTCCCACTAATGTTCCTCTCATTTTTTTCGCATTTTCCATCACGTTTCCAGTGGAACATATGGCTTTAAGCTGGAGCCAGTGGCTTGAATTTTCTCTAGCACTGGTGTTTATTTTTACTGGATGGGGTTGCTTGCCTCCTTATGTCCAACTTTTTCTCTTTACCAGCTTTTTTGCTGACCTAGCGAAGTAAAGGAGTACGTGCGTCGGCAACCAGGGTTCGGACCCTGGACCACATGAGGCGTGATTGATGAACATTTTACCGCTGTGTCACCGACGCGCTAATGTTCCTCCCACTGAAACTATTTTCTTTATATGCGAATTCATTGAGTATAGTAATGTAAACGTGGTTGTTCCAATCAACGATTTAAAGGAAGTACTATTTGAGGTGCACTTTTAATGTCTAGTTCAAGTTTAACAACAAGCTTAATAGACAAAGAGATGGAATGGCAGTGGGGTCACCATTGGGTCCTTTACTTGCAGACTGTTTCTTGGCAAGTCTAGAGAATAATGTGTTACGCCAGGGGGGCGCAATGTCATCTAGCAATCTCCTCAGCCTGTGTACGATACATTGTAATTTTTCTTTGGCATTTTTGTTGAGCAATAGGTTCTTGATTGCTTTGTCCCTAGAATTTCTTGTTGCTAATTCTCCCCCGTCTGCCATCTGCTCTTCGTTTGGGAGTGAGGATAGCTGTCGACAAGATTTTTCACCCTGATGTGAATGCTTTTCTTGACGAACGCACCAAATTTCTGAACCATGTACAAGGGCTGAATGATTTAAAATTAACCGTTGAAAATTCCCAAATTGATTTATTGAGTGCACAAGATTTCCAAACTGGTTTCAGAGTAATGAAGGTCTGCGTTGACTCTTCGATTGTAGTTTTAACATTTTCACCCATACCGCCTTTAGTCGAAACGATGATGCCCAAGTTAAGTGAATGAAGTGATCTCTTTCAAACTTATTATTGGTTGGTGGGCAGTTATGTCTTCTTCATGTATATTTGAAGTTATTCCATTTTATTCAAGTGTTGGTTTGTAGGGATTTGGTTGATTGGTTACAGGATTTCATCATGAGCTGACATTAGTTAGGGAACCACTGGAAAACCACCACTGGACAGCTGTTTTGTCCTAGTTTGGGACTCTTCAGCAGTACGCACCCATCGAAATTCGAACCCAGGACCTTCTGGTTACAAGGCAGGTCAGTTGTGAGGACAAATACTCGCCGAAGACATTGGCTAGGGGTCGCGCTATGTCGTGAATCGGCAGAAGTTAGAATTCATGGGTTGGCCAGTGGATTGGGTCCCAGTGGCTGAATGGTATACGAGCTCACCTTGTAACCACAAGGTCCTGGGTTCGAGCTTCGGTGGGTGTGTACTACTGAAGAGTCCAAAACTAGGACGAAACAGCTGTCCAGTACTCCCAGGTTCTCTAACTAATGTCAGCCCATGATGAAATCCTGTATTCCATATTAGTTTGTTTATTGTATGTATTTCTCACAGTGAATGGAACAGTATTATTTACTGGATGACTTTTCGAAATCAAATTTATTGTTCATAATCATGTCATCAATTATCATCACACGACTTCTAGACTTGAGTTTTATAGTTTTCTTTGTTCTCTTCTATTTGTCGTCGTCGTTGGGGTAGTAGAATTGTCCAGATATCCGAGTGGACAGGTGTTGAATCATTCCTATTACGTGTATTCTCCCTCAGTTGATTCGATAAATAAGGCTTCCGTTATCAATCTCACCCTCCACACTGCTGTTACACTAGGTTTTAAGACTGTCATCTTATCCCATCCATTCTATTGTATGGGTGCATATGTAAGTGCATGTAATGACTGCTACACCTGAACTATTCTCTAAATTTCATGCTATGCTAGTCTGACCGACTAACCTCCTTTTACTACTTCGACCTATGTATTTAACCTGACAATTTTTCCTGGGCAGGGTATTAGGTAAACTAAATTGTTTTGTTTTAAGGACTCCAAAGGATCTACTTGAAGTTGCCTTTACTGCCTTTGTCTTCCTCCAACTTGTTGGTTTTCGCTTTTAAGTCTTTAAGTTTATGTGAATAGTCACCAACTAGAACAAAACAGCCGTCCAACACTCCTCAGCATTTTTCAATGATTTTCTAAATACTATCAGTTCGCGAATCATTCGTTAACCATTTAGCTACTGGGAGAGAATTCAATCTCTTGTGAATTTTAAACTCTGCCACACTATAAACAGGCTTCTTTCTCCAAAGAATTTATAACTTTGTGTCTCTCATCTTATTCATATTAAATCCCTCTTTTTGAATTGTTCCCCATTACAGAATACAATAACCACCTACAAATACTATTAGAAAGAAACCTTTCTCAAATCAACGCCAGCATGACAATGCGATCATGTAACCATGGTAACAAGAGAAAATCCAACCCCAACAACAACAGCAGTAGAGAAAATAACAATAAATCGATAAAAAATACATACAAGTCAGACAAAATGAGCAACACCGGCAGCAGTAGTACAACCACCAACAAAGGCAACAACGTATGTTGCAGAAGAACTCGTGAAAATCTTTATCTATTTCTCGACTCTATATCTATTCGTGGTTGTAATCGAATAGTCAGAGCAGAGAGTGGCTTTATCCGCCTGCTGTGGATATTCTATCTTATCTTCACTAGTCTCTTTCTTTTATTCTCTATTATTAGACTAATAAATGAGTACAACACATATTCTGTAAATATACAAACTTATATCGATATGGATGCACCATCGAACTTTCCCGCCATCACATTTTGTAATCATCAACCATTTTCTAGTCGTGCTTATGAATTATGGCGTAGTGGGGAGATAATTTCACCAACACAATTTAGTAAACTACTTAAAAATGCCGCTGATTACTACTTGAATGCAAGTCAATCGAAAAATCAAAGTTTTCCACAAGAAGCAGGATTTTTCGCCTTTGAATTTGATACAGTTAAAATGTATTATCAAAATTTAGACTGGCAAAAATCGAAATTACTGGGTCATGAAAGAAATCAAAGCATATATATGTGTTTATTTCGATATTCTGGTGGAAATCTGGTGATCGGTGGACCTGGTTGTCATGACGACATGATTATCATTCGTGAACGTTCTCATCCACACCATTTTAATTGTCATACAGTTGAAGTTAGTCAAGCGTATAGTCAAGAAGTACAAGAATTAGGCTTGATTATATGGTTAGGACCAAATGAAAATTATAATGTTCAATATAGACAAGCCTTTTTAATGGATTTATTTGAACAAGCCTATGGATTACGTGTCGCTATACATGAACCTGGTCAGTTGGCGAATTTAGACAGTCAAGGTATACAAATTGAACCGGGTCGAATGAATGAGTTGAATTTTGATGCAGTAAAAACTATTCATCAAGAAACCCCAAGGAAACCGTGTATTCATCAACCGAAACAAATGTATACTGATCTTGAACAAGAGTATAATTATGAATTCGAGTTGTGTTTGAATACGCATTTACAAAATTTACTTATTACACAATGTACATGCCTCTATGCGTATTTACCACGTGTTAAACTACCGAATATAAGCCTACCATATTGTGGACATTTAATTACAACGAATAATCAAAGCTTAGACACGACAGGTATCCTTACACGTAAAGAATGCGTCCGTAATATCTTGAGTAAATCAGCAATATTGAAAAAGTCTTTTGAAGATAATGGTCTCTGTTTAAGACGATGTGAACTGGTCGACTATGAAAGTACTGCATCAGTGACGACATGGAGATCAACTCGATGGCAGTTGCATTGGAGTCAAGAGACATCAGCTGCCCTAGAGGTGTTGTTCTCTTTACCTATGGACGTACAAAATGTGAATAATACCAATGATAAAGCATTGAAAAATTTACAAGTCTACTTTCGTACAGATAATCTTTCCTTGATAACATCAAATTTTCATGAGAAAGATAGTTTAACTGAAGCATATGGTTTCAGTGATCGATACACCTATTTACTAGTGAAACGTAAAAGTAATGATACTATCGTGAAAGCGGAAACACTTGTCCTTACCTTGAATGCATTAGTTAGTCGGATTGGGGGGCTGTGTTCACTGTATATCGGAATGACATTTGCTGTGTTTATTGAATTCATTGAATTCTTTTACATATTCTTATTACGTAATGGATTGTTGACAGTCTCAAATAAAAATAATAATGATAAAAACAAAAATGATAAGCAAAAGAATATGGACGATAACGATATTGAGAATAAACTTGATCAGAATTGTCAACTAGACAAAAATAACTTATCTTCACCATCTTCATCACCGTCAACACTTCATTTAAATAATAAAAAATCAGTGAATCAATTTCTTACATTAACTAAAAGTAATAATAACAGTGATTTTATTGATTATCAATCCAATCCACAATTTGAATTTCCCTCTTCTGAATGTACACAGTTAATTGAAACAACAGACGCTAAAAGCGTTAAAAATCAAAACAATAATAATAATGACAATAAGGTTAATGACTCACCTTTAATTTTAAAAAATAATTTTAATGAATCAGTTGATTCGTTTCAGCCATTGAAACCAGTGAACAATAGAAGCTTAAATGACTTGAATAAACAAAAAGTGAAGAAGTGTTCAATATAACATTGAACAGATAAATATACTGCTGACTTTATGGAAAAAGCATTTACATTAAAACGGTGATCACTAAAAGTTTGAAATATTTAATTTATATACAAAAAAAATACAAAATCTTTCCATCTATGTATTTTTTTCCTGTCATTATTCACAAGCAAAACAAATCGCATTTAACTTTTCATTTCTTACATGTTATTTGTGTAAAAATTAAAAATTGAGCGTTTCAATTACTCTGTTGGTTTTTCTTTCATTTGAATGAATATTTTTCATAATAATAATACAAGTCACTTTTATCACTGTCTTTTGATGTAAACATACTTTGATAAATTTGGGACATCAGTGAGACACTAACACAACGCCTTAGAAATGCGGTAAAAAGAGCATTCCCTGCTGCTGAATTACCCTGTGTCTTCAAAACCACTCCTCTTTTGCGTTCTGAAGTAAAGCATAAACTGCCTAATTTTACCTCTTCTATATGTGTGTATCTACCGATTTAGCTGCTCCTTTGGAGCCAGTTAGCTGCATAGGCTGTACAATCGGGCGTGTTTCTCGTCGGATTTCCAAACACCATTCTGTGTGGTTGTTTCGTAGCTCTATTCTCTCCCATCTTGTGGATACAGAACACAAGATTGATGTTAGCATGGCTTTCAAAGTTGTAGTGCACATTGTATCCTTGAACTTTTGTTTAAACTCGCTCACCCATCGTTTGGCACATCTTCATCTTTTGAGTTGTGACTCTTCCGTACGTTCGTTGGTTCGCTCTCTCGTTATGCATTCATTCAGCACACTCTCCGAGCCTACCACCAGTGACGTCAGCAGATAAGTTGTACAACCTCTTTATTTATCAAATTTCATATTTCATCTGTGTAAAATATTACTGTCCCAGATACACTTGTCGTTTCAAGTCTTTTTACCTTGATTCCGTTCGTCAGTATTTGCACGTTGAGCAGAGTACACCTAAGGTCATAAAACGGTGAAGAAGTGTTGTAGGAATGTTTAGAATTGAGGTCTACACTAAGTCGTAATAAACCTTACAAAGTCATCTACCGTATACCAGCAAATCTTAACTTCGCCTTAAGAGTTCGTCCACTACATATTGTTGAGGCCGTTGGGATCCTCATTAAGAAGCCTAATTTATGTGTCCAAAAGAAGCTAGTTCAGACATTGCCCTTACCTTGGCCATTTTGGTTCGAATGATCATCAATTTTTGCAGAATTTTCCCTAATTTTCGTTGATATTCTATTTGCTAATATATTTTTATTATTATAATTTAAGCATCTTTAATGAACTGTAATTCCATTGTGATCATATTTTACAAATCGATATTATTCAAAAAATACTCATATTTTTATTGACTACTAATCTAGAACATTCTATGTATATAAACATATACATATAATTGTAGAGTCAGAAGAGGAAGTTATCGAAAAGGATATTCTTTGCTCAAATATACTGTTCATTAAAAGTCTCCATTCGAGCATTTATAGACAGAAGACAAGTAGTTCAGCGGAGTCTCTTTTCGGTTAATTCATTTTCATAACTGTACGATTACAAATATATACGGTTGATTTTATGTGTGTGTGTGTGTACACTAAGTTTGACAAACGAAAATACAGTAGCGTAATTCCGTATGTTATTTTGTTCGGATATGAAAATATGGTAGTGTAAACAGGGATTAAGAAAAACTTGAAATAACATGAATAAACAGGAAGTTTAGATAAGAAAGACAATTGGATAGTCACTATTAAACGAATTACCTGTTTATGATGGCCATGACAGTGACAAGGGTTAGATGTATTTCTTTTGAATGCAAAGCGTGGGTTTTAGCTTTTGGATAGCTGGTGCCTCGGCTATGCCCAGATTTCTTCATTTTACTCCCTCTGATCGGTTTGTTAGGATCTTCTATACTATTACGAAGGATTTCTCGAATGGCACTGAATGTCCTGAGTTGACCAGATGTTCTGTCACTGAACTGTATACACGTTTTCGTTCTTCTTTTTACTAACCAGGCTGGGTGGTGTTTACGAGCACGTTTATCAAGTTGGAACATGGTACCGCCTATGTCTATTTTGTCATTATTCGTCACATTAGTTATGATCTCATTAGATTTTTCTATCCAATTATCCTGTCTATTTTGTTATTTCTACATTTCTAACCCCTAATTGTACAATATGTCAATCTTCTCAGTAATTATGATGCTAATTTGTTTGAGTTTTATCCGTCCCTCTGTTTAATATGGCATTTTAATTCCTAATTGTAATTTTTATTAATTTGACCCTTGCCATCTTACTGACTTGCAACACTCGTCTTCTTTCTCGTCTTAGGGTATTTTACTGACAACACTAATATTATTTCTGAATGCACTTTATCTTCCTTTCTGTTTCACCCAAGTCTTACATTGATTTTACTAAGAAGACAATTGCAGAGAAGAAAATTTTCTTTTACAGCCAGAACGCGAAAGACAAGCTGTCACATTGGGCCACCTTAACGTGTATATACTAGTTTACTTGCTCTTGTGGAGCTGAGTACGTTGGCCGTACCATGAGCCGACTTGAAAAACGCGCTCGTAAACACCACCCAGCCTGGTTAGTAAAAAGAAGAACGAAAACGTGTATACAGTTCAGTGACAGAACATCTGGTCAACTCAGGACATTCAGTGCCATTCGAGAAATCCTTCGTAATAGTATAGAAGATCCTAACAAACCGATCAGAGGGAGTAAAATGAAGAAATCTGGGCATAGCCGAGGCACCAGCTATCCAAAAGCTAAAACCCACGCTTTGCATTCAAAAGAAATACGTCTAACCCTTGTCACTGTCATGGCCATCATAAACAGGTAGTTCTTTTATTAGTGACTATCCCATCGCCTTTCTTATCTAAACTTCCTGTTTATTCATGTCATTTTAAGTTTTTCTTAATCCCTATTTACACTACCATATATTCATACCCGAACTTCGTGTTTATTTTGTCATTTTACTATTTCAACATATTTAATCCCTGATTGCATAAACAATTATTCATCACATTAGTTTTTTATCCAAACATCCTGTCTGTTTTGTTATTTCTACATTTCTAACCCCTTTTTGCACAATGTCATTTTTCTTAGTAGTTACGATGCTCCTTTGTTTGTTTAATCCGTCCCCCTGTTTATTGTGGCATTCTAATTCCTAACTGTAATTTTGATTCATTTGACCCTTGACCGGAAAGTATTCTGGAACTTTCCCACCCATTTATTATGAATACACGAATGTACAGCCTAGATGATGACTTCGTCGAAAAGAAAATTTTCCTCTTTGCTGCAACTGTCTATTTTTTTAATATTCCTATTTCGCCTAAAGATATTTCGGCTGCCGAGTTGAAATATTTCTGACTAATGAGTCGATTTCATCCTCCGTTTTACAAAAAGCAGTCAGAAAATATGCCGTCTCAAATAACGTCTTAAAAATATACCCTAATTCTTAACATGCAAACAGAACATCTATTTAATTCAAACCAAATTATAATAGTTGACATACTGCATAAAAAAGAATATGTTATACATTAGAGAAGCGCTTACCGAAAGATAGACTAACATCCGACTATGATTAGTGCACGACAAAAACACCTTTTCCTTACAGTACTGTATCTTGTGAAAGTTAATATTACAGGAGACGTCAAAAAATAGACGCACGGAGAAGCAAACACGCGAGTGATATTTAGACAACCCTCTTCACTGAAACAGTGAATATGGATCCTAATCTCAATCTCTACTCCCAGTCTACCCCTAGCCAATATTATTGCTTATCTCAACCTGACTATAACCTAACTTTAAAATAAAGGGATGTTTATTTCAATGTTCTCACAATCCTTTTATCACCTTGCTTATTTTTTGAATTTGCTGTCATTTATCGGGATACACTATCCTATATTGATTCAGTGTTCCTAGATCTTAGAAGTGCTCAGATTCGCAACTTACAAATTAGTTGGCGATTTGTAATGTGCACAGCTAGAATGCAGGGAGGGGGAAGAATTTCAAAATAGCGCGCTTTGATAGCAGAAAAATTCAAATCATAGTGTGTGTGTGTGTGTGTATGTGATCGACCTCATACCATAAATAGTAATCAAGACAGCAAACATATTCGCATAAAAAGTTATATACTACTGACTGACTCTTTGAGATGAGCAGTTGAATACCACTCATCTCAACCATTAGTACTTTCTAGGTAGACTTCCATATCACTGGTTTGCGTCTCAGCTCAGAGAATCGAATCAGTACAAACCATTCAATTTTTATGCAAATACGCTTGCTCTCTTAATCACGACTTATGATGTCAAGCAGATCGCATACTGTGACCTGAAAAATTTGATTTCCAAAATAAACTATGCTGAAACTTCACACTTCAAACTGTGTACACTGCAGATTACCGAATCAGATCTACAGTAAAACAAGTCCACCCAAGTAGGAAATCAAATGTCGCCTGGCTTGGACTCATTTAAATATGTCAGTTGAGTTAAACTGGCTTCGCCATTGATAAGCTGAGCCCAATAGAGATAAAGGGCAGTTCACTGTTTAAATCACTTCGCTTAGAATAAAGCAAAAGCGAAGGAGTGGTTTGTGCAGGATACAATCGTGCAGTCAATGTTTATTTCACTGGCTATTCATCAGCTCAGCTGCTGCTTACAGCCCAAAGTCATTATATCTACAGAAACAATTTTAACATACTTACCGACAGAGTTCATATTTAAATGAAAATCAATCAATACATACATATATACAGTAATATTATATATAATTATAATAAGCACTATATATCGAAAAATAATGATCATATACAATAGGAACTTTCGAAATTAAATAACCAGGTGAAAGAGAGTATGAAAACCTCCAGTTACCAGGCAGGGTAAGAAAAGACATTGATGTGAAATAATTTAGTGGGTTCCAATTAATGTAATTGTTGAATAATCCTGTTTGTGACCGGACATTCTTCAACTTACAATTGTCAACCTGACAAGGGTTGCAGGCGTACTG